CCTCAAACCTTTTCATTTGCCAATAAGCTTTTATATCCTAATAAATAACATTAATTAACATTTTGAATCACTTTAACCAATATTGAGCTTTCTAACTTATTAATAAAACATTAAAAGGCTGTATACCTGTGTTGGTGCCAAAGAACTTAACTCTGCTTTTAGAAACCACTCTGTATAGAAAAGGCTTATGAACAAAGCCATACCAGTTATTTCTTCCTTATGTTTGTCAGTTAGGTTTTGGATTTCATTCATTAAAAGATACAACTTTAAATAGTATAAACCTTTTCCCATAAATCTTGAATGGTGAATTGGTCCCGGTAAATGAAATTTAAATCTATTTGATGATAAAACCATTAAAGTAAGTTCAGCTAGCTCGTGGTATTCTTTTCTTATATTTCTGTCCTAAAATGTTTTTGATACCTTTTAAATTAGTAATAAATGTTACTTTTTAAAAGTTAGAAAGTTAGAATAGGAATCAAATTAATAAAAATAAGAATATCACCTTTTTGAAGATCTTCAAACTGATCACATTAATACAAAACTGAACAGCAGCTAATTTTTGATTATATATCCATGTTCCAGGTGGTATTATTATTCTTTTCAGTTCCTTAGTTTCAGCATCTATACTGTTCCAGTTTTGTTTTAAAACTTCAAATAGTTTGTTTTCTGGACCAGAAGTTTCGCTGCTTGGGTAAATCTTCCAGAAATGGGCTATGTGTCGTTCAATTACATGATGTCGACATGCAATCAACAACAATGGACGTTGAACTTGTTGAATTAATTTCATGCAAGTACCTTGCCATCTTCCTGTATTTGCTGAAGTTGTGTCGAAACAGAGACATTTGACCTTATCTTTTAATCCAAAATACTCCATCAATTCCACTATAGCTTGCTTTTGATTAACCCCTGAACTAGAATCTATTGGAGGAATGCTAAGTAGTTCTGTTTTTTTATCAATTCTTAGCAAAACTGCAATTCTATCTTTTTTAAATTGCTTTCTCTCTGTTAGTTCATTAACTATTTTTCCGTCAAAGTGTATAGTCATTAGTGAATCTGATAACATTACAATGTTTTTTATGTATTCTCTTATTTCTTTTGCCCTGGCAGATATTATGTTCTCCGCAGCTCTATAAGATGTGGATTTAGAACAATTAAAGTTTGCTACAGAACCACCAGACATAACAATAACACTACTAATCAATGCTGTATGTTGATGGGGTGTTATACCTTCTCCCACTGCTGTATGAGCGGTTGACTGAAGGATATTTTTAGGAAGCAGAACAGAATTTTGATCATTAGGATGCTCATTAAAATCAAAGTCAATATCTGTTTCTTCACCTAATTCATCGCTAGTATAACTAGCAGAACTTAGATAATCTGAATCATTCTTATTTAATTCTACTGACGGATTTTTACTGAACTTTGATGTGCTTCTTTTACTTCTGATTACAGAATATTCATATCTTTTATCTCTACCTCCAAGACTTCCTTTTCTTTCATCCAGTTGGTCTTTTAAGAAAGCAATATCTTCTTCCTTGTCTTTCAATTTTCTCATTTTATCTTTTAATATTTCCTCAAACATAACATTAGGATGTTTTCCAATCCAAAATACTTTACTCATTTGCTCTTCAAATAAATGTCTTTTTTTTATTTCAGCAGGATTTGTTCTGTATCTTTGATCTTTTAATTTCATCCATTCCTTCAACAATTTCTCAATTTTAATCCTGTAAAAATATTATATAATAATATAATTATGGATTAAACATGGACTAAAATGATTTAGAACTTATTGAAAAGATTACCTTAACTTTTGTATTGTAAGCACTCTAAATCCACCAAGTATCCAAGGAACCATTAGTTTGGACAGTATGCAGCAGTCAGACTGATCAACTGGACAATTAGGTATAAAAGAAGAACTTTTATTCGGACAACCTACGAGGAACCTCAGTTTTGCTTCACTCTTTGACTTTCGTAGAAAGAGATAATATTGAACTATCTCTTTAGCAGTTGCAAATTTTTTAGCTGGAAGTTTTTCGATTAACTTTTTAACTAAAAATATTTTATCCAATCTAATACTTCTAACTTTTTTTTTTGGTGTCATTTTATAAATTTTTTGAATATATAATCTAAAAATAAAAATTTAATGTAAAATACATTTCAAGAAAACATATTAATTACTGAAAAAATTTAAATCTTCATTTTAAAAATGTAAAACTATGTTCAATGTAAAAATGTTTTTTTTTGTTAAATATTTATGAATTTTAGGGTTTTTTGAAGCAATTTTTATAAATTTTTAATATTTTTTTGAGAATAGAGCCCATGTTATTTGGATTAAATAAGTCTTTACAAACATAAATATATATTAGAAAAAAAAAAAAAATTAATGTCAAGACTTCCTACAAACAGTTTTAAAAATGGTACGAAATGCCCTAAAAATTGCCCCTTTTACCCCCTGAAGGAACCCTTAGAGTTTTCAAAAAAAAAAAATTTTTAGTGCTAAATCATGGTCTGGGCAGATGATAAGCTAGGGCTCTTTTTTTTTTTCAGACATGACCTATTTTTGAAACACCCTAATATATATATATATATATATATATATATATATATATATATATATATATATATATATATATATATATATATATATATATATATATATATATATATATATATATATATGTATTATATAAATAAGAAAAACATATATAATATATATTTTATATTTATATAATATATCAAGTAGTCTCTACTTGTAATCCACACTCATGAAATAATACGGTCATAAAGAAATATCCATTTAATATTTACCTAACTAACTGCATTACAAGTTAAGCCATGTATTATTGTTAAATTGTCAAATTCAAAACCTTATAAAAAGGCAACAGATGACCTAATTTATTAGCATGTGTGACTTTACTTGTTTTTATTGGGCTAATAAGTAACTTGTTAAGTCTTTACTTGTTATTTGTTATGTTGATAAAAAAATTTTAAGTCACGCATGCGTATTTTAGTTATCATATTGCAATTACGAACGATCGAACTCGTAATATAGACGTTGAATTAACGTGGAATCAACGTCGATTTTATTTGATAGTTTTAAACAAATTTTTCAACGTTGATACAACGTTGATTTTTGGTTATACGACGTCGCGACTAAAAATCAACTGTAAATCAACGTCGAAATAACGTCGTGTGTCCACTGGGGTTCCTTTTCTTATGGCTGACTTGATTATGGCTTACCTAAAGCCTAATAATAATGAAGTAATGTTTCAATTTAATTTGTTTTTTAAGTATTTTTGTTTCTTTTTGTTAAATATAATATTTTTTTTGTAATTTTTTTTTAAAGTTTATATTTTTATTTTATCTCAAGAAAAATATGTTTTTTGTTTCTTAAGTAAATATCTATATTTTTTTATTTTTGAATTTATTGTTTCAAATGGATATATTGATCATTTTTGCATCGTTTTTTATATTTTTGTTGCTTTTTATATATATGAATAGAAACCATTTATACTTAAAATCATATTTTGTACTCAAAGTGTCCATTTGCATTAAGTATCGATTAGCACAAACAGCATGTTCAACAACTTCGGATGTAAAAACAGCTTAATTGAATGAATTTGTTAAAAGTTTTGATTTTTACAGCAACATTTTTATAAAATGTATCAAACGGATAAGGCTAACTTATTTAAAATAACAAGTCTCTTAGGCCCGTTTTCTAATGTCTAAATTTGATTTTTAAATAAATCTTGATGAGAGGGTAAAGTCTTAAGCTTTCAAAAACACCTGAAGAAATGTTACGCAACTGTCTCTATTATGTTAAAGATCCTTTTATGTATAAAATATTGGAGTACATTAAGTAAATAAGTACAGTTTCTAAAGTATATTAAGGCAATTGTTAACCAAAAACTTTAAATCGACTAATTTTTTGCTGTTTACTTAAGGTATAGAGACCTAACTAAGAACAAGTTTGGAAATAGTCGGATGTGGAATAGAATTGCCGTGACCCGTATCGTACGGGTCACCACCGCTAATTCCGCAACTATACAGTATAATTGTTAATATATTTCAACAATTTTATAAATTTTTTATAATTATATAAATAATTTAAGTGTTTTTTACAGAAACCCAATGGGCACCGGACCTAAAATAGACGTGTACAAGACGTTTTAAACGTCTTTTTTACGTCCGTGCCCACTGGGAAGGCTTTTATAAAATATATCAAACAGATAAAGTTAACTTATTTGAAATAACTAGGTCTTTTGGGTCCATTTTTCAATGTACAAATTTGCTTTTTAAATAAATCCTTATGAGAGAGTTAAAATATTGCCTAAGTTTCACGGAACTGTGTTAAATGCTAAAGATTTTTTTTATGTAGAAAATATTAAAGTAAATAAGAAATAATGTAATAAGTAAAAATACTATTTAGTTCTAAAGAACATTAAATTAAAAATCAAGAATTCTAGGTAGTCAGTAAAATGCAAGCTGTACATCGATTTTTTAAATTAAATATATTGGTATTCGATATATTTTATTTAAATTAGACTTTTCTTTTAAATTAATTATAATTTAATGAGCAATTAAAGTTCGATCTAATTTTCATGAGTTCGCATTTTACCATCTGGTAGATGGTAAAATGCGAACTTTAATTGTAATTGCAATTAAAATTCGTATTTTACCCTCTACCGGAACTTTAAATTGATTATTTTTTGCCGTTTACTAAAAAAAATTAAAGTATTAAGACTAAGGAACAAGTTTAGAAATTGTCGGTGTGGATTAAACTTGGGTCATACCAGCTAGTATGTATATATATATATGCATATATACATATATATATATATATATATATATATATATATATATATATATATATATATATATATATATATATATATATATATATATATATATATATATATATATATATATATAATATGTATTAAAAACATCAGCCTATAATTTTAAATTCATATAATAAAATCATGTATTTAGTTCAATATATATGTAGAAGCAAATAATGACAACCAGGTACAACAAGCCACTAACAATTTATAGAGATAAATTGAACAACACCAACAGTTTTACTTAAACTACTTATTATGGAATGTGAAGTAAGATAAGAAGGACTACTTTATGTTTTGTACAAATCTAACCAAATTTTGATGATTTGAAAGTAAGAAAGCTGTAAATTTTTTTTTAAATACTCAAATATTTCCTAGTACATTATAGAGCTTGTCTAGTATAATGCAATTTTCAGTTATATTTGATATGTTTTTAGAATATGACGAACATGATGAACACAGAACAAAAATTTGGCAAAATTAACTAATTATGGCAAATCTTGCAAATGATCTTGTAAAAACAAGTTCCTTAATAAAAGTGTAAGATTTAAATTGTTTAATTGTAATATTTTAGAATAATATGTAATATATGTATTCCTAATAATAATATTATACAGACTATGGTTAAGATTTATTACATTGAATCTTAGTTGTTTAAGGAAAAGTACATACCTCAATAATTACGAAAAATCATAACAACTGTGCATACAAATTAAAATAATTAGTTTCCATATTTTATAAAATAATGCAATACTTCATTTTCAGAATATGTATAAAGATTATGCGGATGTTATTACAGGGTGTCGGTTATATCAAGGAAATCAGGGAATTTAGATTTCTGCAAAAGACTACGGAATAATCAGTGAAATTGGGTTGTATTTTGAAATAATCAGAGAATATGGCTATGTGGCAAATGTATATGACCTATATCAGTTTTGTATCATACACGTAATGTAAAAATTTATTCGGATTTTCTTTATGGCCTTCTATTGATAATTTGATGTTGCTTGTAATTATGTTTATATATATTTGCACTTAAGAATTTTTCTGAATGAATTTAAGTTGATTTTCTCTAAAGTTAAGCTTTTGTTGCTTTAAATTAAGTCAGCAAAAATCAGGTTGAGAATCAGAGAAAAGTCAGGGAAATCCATCTTTAAATAATGGCAGACACCCTTTATTATATTTAATTTGTTTGCTTAAGGTAAACAACATCGTGCATATCCTGGAACACTTGGAGAAGAATAGAAGTAGTTGTTAGTTATTAAATATTATATTTATTTGAAGACTACAGGACAAAACCCAAATTAGTTTATGTTTTTAATTTTAATAAAAATACCATTTTGTGTTTGATGAACTATATTAGTACTCGTACTAATATAATTAATCAAACACAAAATAGTATTTTTATTATATATGTTATATATGACTGTTAGTTGCTTTATATATGTTATATATGACTGTTAGTTGATTTTTGTACATAATTATATTCAAACATCTCAGTTATTCATAACACTTTTTGTTTTAGTAAAGTTAAACCATAGTGCACAATGAAAGGGACGGATATACACGAATTAGTGCCACTTGGTGCTTAAATATGTGAAACTGTTGTTTTTTCTGTCTTCAACAATCAGTGGCGGATTAAGACTTCTTGGGGCCCGGGGCTATTTATGTTTTTGGAGGGCTTTTTATGGCCAGAGCTCATAAAAATACAAATAAATACAGCCCCGGGCCCCTAAATTTGCGGAGCCCGGGGCTATAGCCCCCTAGACCCCCCCCCCACATCCCTTCATCCGGCACTGTCAACAATGCAAAAGAGTCTCAATCTTTAGTGGTATTTGTTATATTGTTGTTATAGTGTTGTGTTATGTCTTGAGTAATAAAATAACTTTTTTATACAGAAAGTTTAAAGTTTTACGAAGTCCATCCAAAAAATATAAAAACAGAAAAAATTACCCTAAACAAACACAACGCAATTGTAAAACGCTTTAGTGGTCAGACGTAATTGTAAAACGCTTTAGTGAACAGGCTGTTGACACAGCTGTAAATGATATCACTGAGATGGAACTTGATTTAAAACAGAATTATTTGAACAGTTAAACTGCGCGCAGTTTTATATTGCATTGTTTTATCACTTATTAAAAAGTTGACTTTTGTTATTTGTGTTTTGATCTGTAAGCACCTGAAAAAAGCTTAGTTAAAAGTTTTAATGAGTATTATTATAGTTCTTCGGTAATACTTTCTGTTTTTAAGGTTTTAAAATACAATTTTCTCATGTAGAATGTCTATGCAGTATGGAATAGTCTTACATAAGTGACTTGTTGTATTATATATTATAAGTATTATTTATACTATTAACATGAGCACTGTTGTAATATTAATTATGAATTTTTTTCGAGAAAAAATTAATTAAAATACTTAATTGTTTTATTTATTAGCATTCTCAACGCAAAAATATGCTTGCAATTTAGTAGAATCGGGATAAATACAAAATAATCTTATAAGATCTTACAAATCTTACTAAGAATTAATACTATAACTTGTAAATCTTATTAAGAAAATAAGATAAATCTTACTAATCTTCATAAGATCTTATATTTCTTACAAATCTTATTAGTAAATCGCACGAAAACCTTCAAATCTTACTAAGATCTTACTAGTTTTCTTGCACGTCTTGCAAGTCTTACTAATCTTACTAAGAATCTTATTAGGAAATCTTATTAAGATTTGTAGGATTCGTCGCTCTAGGTTGTATTAATTTTTTTTAGCTTCAACACACAGATGAGATTTATTAAAAAAAAAGCATACACTTAAGCGCCTATCAAATACACTATGTTCATGTAGGTTTGATGCTTCAAAAAGATGCTTAAAAAAGTTTACTAGAAAACTTTGATGGAATTAAAAAATCAAATCAAACCAATCAAAATCAAATCAAATATATTCTGAAACAAGTTGTTTAACATTTCAAGGATATTTACAATAGTACGAGTACTAATATAAAGCAAATACCTAATACAAAATATCAATATAGACATTTAGAAATATATTAATAGTAATATTATAATAATAGTGTAAATACTACTAACAATTAAAACAACAATAAACATTAAATCAATATATATATATATATATATATACCCACACACACATATATATATATATATATATATATATATATATATATATATATATATATATATATATATATATATATATATACATATATATATATATATATATATATATATATATATATATATATATATATATATATATATATATATATATATATATATATATATATATATATATATATATATATATATATATATATATATATATATATATATATATATATATATATAGCAATAATGAGTAATACTGATAGGAAAATAGAAAGTAAAATAAAAATAATAAAAAGTTAATATTACTATCATCTAAAAACAAAATAATAATGATAAGAATAATAATCATAATATAAAATTCAATCATAATAAAAAAGAATAATAATCATAAAAAAAAATCTTTAATAACGAAGATAGTATTACCAATAAAAATAAGATAAATAGAAATAAAAGAAAATAATTTGATGATGACGATAAATAAAGATTCAAGAAAATCCTCGTCAATAACAGTGATAATATTAACAATGAAGTTAAGATAAATAGAGACAAATGAAAGAAAATAAATTGATTATGACGATAAATAAAGATTCAAGAAAATCCTCGTCAATAACAATGATAATATACTAACAATAAAAATAGAAAAATGAAAAAAATAAATTTATAAAAAGAAAAGCAGAATAAATAACCAAGGAATTAAGGATAAGACTAGGTTGATAGAATTTGATAAATAGATAGAGAATTTAGAGTTATTAAAGATAGGAAAATGAAAAGCCAGAGGATTACTAATTTATAAATATTACAGAGAGTTTGGAGTTTGACTGCAGAGATATTTATTTGTATTTTATTAACAAGTGATTGAAAAGCTTGACCTTGAAGTCAGAGATTGAGTTTAGAGATTTTAAATCAGGAGGGAGATTGTTCCATGCGCTTATAGTTTGGTGTTTAATGGATTTGTTTCCATACTTGATAGAATGGTGTTTTGGAACAGGTTTAAATTATTAAACGAACGAAGAGGATATTGACAGTTTAAACATTTATTATAAAAATTGTTGAACGATACTGGAAGGTTATAGTGATGGTAATTCCAGACAAATTGACAGTTAAGGAATAAAACAAGGTCACTTAATTTTAGTATATTGGTTATACAGTACAGCACACTAGATTTAAAGTTATTAGATTGAAAATATATTATTTTTAAGGCTTTATTTTGGAGATGGGATAGCCTTGAGAAATTGTGTTTCTGGGATTGTCCCCATATTTGACATGCATATCTTAGACGAGACCCAAAAATAGCATGGTATATATTAAGCAAAGCTTCTAAATTTACATAATGGAGGACTTTGGCTAACATTCCATTAGATCTTCTGAGTTTTATTGCCAAGTCATTTAGATGGTCTTTGAAGGAAAGATTGGAATCAATTTTAATACCAAGATATTTGATAGATCCCACAGGATAAATTTTCCGTCCGCTTAGTCTAAAATTTAATTGCTTTTTAATAGGTGTCAGACTGGATTTAAAGATGATGAGTTCAGTTTTATTACAGTTAAAAAAAAGTTTATTAGGTCGAAGCCATTGAACAAGATTTGAGAGATCATGATTAATATATTTGTTGATTTTTTTTAGCGATTTGTCAATCAGTAGCATGTTAGTATCGTCCGCAAAGTGGTAAGCAGTTGCAAATTTAAAAAAAGTATTTAAGTCATTAATAAAAATAAGAAAGAGAAGTGGTCCTAAAACTGAACCTTGAGGGACACCATTTGAGCACTTTTTTATGACAGAATTAGTTCCATTAATGGAAACAAACTGTTTTCTATTGTTAAGATAAGAACTTTGTATTGAGAATTTTGTATTGAGTGAAGTCTTGAGTGATCTACAGTGTCAAAAGCTTTTTCCAAATCTACAAACACTCCACATGCAAAGTGCTTGTTATCCAGAGCTTTTCGAATCCTCTCAGTAATTTCAATGAGTAAAAGGGTTGTGGATTGTTTTTTCGGAATCCATACTGATGTTGGTATAAGTTTTTTTTCGGAATCCATACTGATGTTGGTATAAGTTTTTACATTTTTCTAGAAACTTGTACAGCCTGTTATGCCTTTTCAAAAAGTTTGCTCAAATTGTAAAGAAGGGAAATAGATTGATAGTTAGTGTAATCAAGAAGAAAGCCTTTTTTGAGGATTGGAACAACTCTAGCTACTTTGAATACATCAGGTAATGTGCCACTTTTAAATGAGTTATTAATAATAGTGCAAAGTGCCTTTGAGATAATTTGAGATGTAAGTTTTAGAAAAAATGAGGGTAGGTTGTTAGAACCATAGCTTGTGTTATTTTTTAAAGTATCATTTATAAGATTAGATACCTCATCTTCACTCACAGGATTAATAAAGAGGGAATTAGTAATTGACATATTAAGAAAGTCTCTAAATTTGCGTTTTATTGGTCTGATTTCCCTGTGTAGTTTTTTATTGACAAAGATAAAATAGTTGTTAAATATATTAGAGACAGTAGTATGGTCTGTGATAATATTTTCATTCAAATTTAGTTGAAAAGGTGTATTGTGGGATGATGATTTAATGTTAATGATTTCTTTAATGCCTTTCCATGTATTTTTAATGTTGTTCAGGTTGTTATTGAAATAGTTTATGTAGAAGGATTTTTTGCTACTTTTTAGTAAGTTGCTAATTTTATTCCTCTAATATTTAAATTTTTTAAAGAGTTCGTTTTTATTAATAATATTTTTACATCTTGCAAATTTTTTGTAGATACTATTTTTTACAAATATAGATATAAGTATTCCTTTAGAGATACAGGGTTTAGATTTGAGTAGTATTTGATTCTTGGATAATGTTTGAAAGGGGGCATGATGGTTTAAAATTTTCTCAAATGTCCTTAAGAAGTGATTGACAGATTGATTCACATCATCGTCTTTTTTAATCAAGTTGATTTTGAGATGTCCAGAATAAATTTGTTGGTATCAAAGTTTTCAACTTCGTCTTGAAATTTTAACTTTGTTAGGTTGACTGGCTGTGCCAGGAACACATACAAATTATGCCATGTGATCTGAAATAGAAATAGTTAAGTTACCAGAGAAATGATCAGTAGAGTGTAAATTCATGAAGATATTATCAATGAGTGTTTGTGATTTAGCTGTTATGCGGGTAGGTAGGATTGTAGAAGGGTTAAAAGAATAAGAGTAAAAGGAATCAAAGTAATTAGAAGTAGGATTAGACTATGATCTAGTAAATCTATATTAAAATCACCCATTAAAAGGATCAATTTATTTTCTTTGCTTAGTTTTTCGATATATGCAGCCAATTAGAATATTAGTTTTGTGGGGCTTAATGATTTCAACAAAAACAGACTCTAGTAATTTTCGTGTATATATCTTGAGATCATTACGAGTTACATAATTTAAATTTGATCGAAGATATAAAAGAGCACCACCTTTTTTGGCTTCTGTGTGCTCAATGTTGAAGCCACTAATGGTTTTGTCTGTTATATTAGTGTCATTAATATATAAGTTGGATTCAGTAATCCCTATTGCTATCGGTACAATATTAAGTGTGCTTATAAGGTTGCATAGGTCATCAATGTCATAAGGAAGTGAGGCAATGTTAAGATGTAGATATAGATCTGAAAAAGGTTTACTAGTTTTATTAAATTCAATAAGATCATAGTATTTACAATTTATATAAGAGCTTGAGATTGCATTAAGTTCTTTTATCAAGCTTCTCGAGTAGATAAGAGATTCAAGAATGTTTAGGGATGCAGTTGGCAAATTCTTGCAAATTATTGTTAACAAAAGCTTATAACTGAGGATAAAGAAAAGTCTAATAATCGTCATGAAGCTTTGTGTTTATTAAATAAGATCACAAAGCTATAGTTTCCATTCATGGCCATTATTGGCATCAAATATTTATAAGGTTTAATAAAGTTAGCAATTTTCTTCAAAAAGATAGATTTGCATACAGCAAGCAGTATGTTACTTTCACTTATTATTTTTTTTTTAATTTTATTTAGGTGCCTCAAGAAGTCCTTACGGTCTTATCCCAGAGCACGCGGATGAGCATTTAATCGGAAGTTCACGCCTCCTTCCTAACCGATGTCTCAAAACTTGCCCAGAGGTGGGGTTTGAACCACGGATCCGTTGTTTCTGAGGCAAGAGCGCTAATTAACTAATTGACTTTGTAAAAAACGAAAAAAACGACTTTACGAGATTTGAGAATGAATCGAATAATCTAAGCATGTTTATTGAAAAAGACAACTCTGATAAAAACAAAAGAAAAGTAATTAAAAAAAATATACAAAACTAGTTTTGACTTTATTTAAAGTTTTAAAGTTTTATTTAAAGCCATTTTTGTGTAATATGAGCATGCTCAAATTACCCAGTATTTTTCATTGAAATTACCAAGTTAGCAAGTTAGAAATTACAAAGTCCTAAAATAGCAGTGGTTTTAATCGCTTTTATAATTTAATATTTTAACAATACTAATTATTTTTCTGTAATTTAAATTCAAAAAATTTGAATTGTTATCGTTTAAAGGTTTGAGTTAATAAAATTGAAAAAATAACGCACTTTTAATTTTTTAGAACTAATAATAATAATATTTTTTTTGCGAATAACAGCGAATATAACACTTTTTGTTCCAACAAAAAGTGAAAATTTGATCTTTTAATGATAATAAAATTTGATCTTTTAATAATAAAATTTGATCTTTTAATGATAAGTTTTGTTAATAACGAATCATTATAATCCAAAAATTAGTAATAATTGTCAGGTTGGTATTTTTTTGCTCAATTAATATTATTTTCTTGAGCTTATTTAAAGTGCTCATATTACCACGTGGTCTGGGTAACATGAGCAGTTTTGCTACTTTTTCAAAACCTCTGTGTTTTTTAAAAAAATTTCGGGTAAGCAAATTTCGGGTCTAAGTGAATCATAAGTAGGGATTCCTAAAAATTGTTTATTTGCAAAAAATTTTGGATCCAGCTTAATTGTTTTTGAAAATATTCCAATTTTCTTTTAATGTGCTCATATTACCCTAGTCTACCCTATATTGTGTATTTATATGCTAGTATTGGAATGTATATACAGATTTTCTTTATTAAAACATAATTTTGAATCTAGGGAATATTAGTTTGTGATATTTGTAAAATTTAAGGCAAAAAAAAAAAGTGTTATTTTGAACTTTTGGCTGTACATATACTTTTTGAAAATAAAAGTTTTTGGTGTATTTAGGCAGAAACTTTAAATGTAATTTTCTCCTGCAGTCGTAGTTAAAAGATTTTAATTTTTTCTTAAAAGTGATCTCTATTACCCTATACAGAATCATCCCTCCAACGGATTTTTGGGTCATTTTCGAAGGCTAGAACCCCTTTTTAGACAACTAAGAGCAGACTGTCAAAAAAAGTTAAAAAAAATGGCATTAGACTATGTTAAAAAAGTTAAAATTAGTGAACTGATCTAGTAGTTAAAAAACAGTGAAAGTGTATGCAATTGAATTGTATTTAAATAAATATTAAAAAATTTTGCTAAGATCTTGTTGTCATATATATATATATATTCTTTAATTTTAAAGTATTTCTATATTTTTTGTTTTCGTAAATAGATATTATCGTTTTAAAACAGCTAGAAAAATATTTAAAAAAAGTTTTAGATTTCAAAATGACTTAAGATGTGATGCCCGACAAAAATACCATGATAACCTAACCAAAGCGCTATTGCACACTTTACATGTTCATTTGATGACTGTATAAGACAATTAAAACAATAACTACTTTTTTAAATCTATATTATTACAAATATAATAAAATAATCTACAGGAAAAAAGCTTAAAAGAAAAAAACTAATAGCTTAAGTTGAACGCGTTTTAAAAAAATAAATGCAGAAAAATTTCATTCTTCTGTAATTTTGTTTTCTGCGATACATCTACCTGCATATAAAAAAAATTTATTAAAATCTAGCATTACAAAATGAAATTTATTTCATAAAAATTTCATATGTCAGGCCTGTAGCAAACGGGGAGTGGGGCAGGAGGGGCATTCGCCCCTCCCCCACACTAATTTTTTTTTTCAAAAATAAAAAAAAAACAAACAAAAGGTCCTGAAAATTATTTCGGGGCTCCTTAATCCAGCACTACCACCCCAATATAATTTTTGTTCCTACGGGCCTGAATGACAACACTTTATATAAAAAACTTGAAACTAAAATAAATCGTTCAAAACTTATAAATACTAAGCTAATAATAAAACGTCATCTGTGAATTTGCTGCATACTCATCTAAAAAATGTTTTTAAATAATAAGAACAAAGAATTTTGTAAAATCATTTAAAATGGGACATTTAATAGGATTTAAATAGAACACAATAATGATTTTTTTTTTAAGATTCTCCAATACCCAGCCGGCAGATCTAGTATTGTAAATTTAATGGGATTTATGCGACATAATAATATTTAAGTTTTTAGATTCTCCATGTTTTAGGTTTTATCAGGATTTGAAACTTTTTTTTTTTTTTTTTTTTTTTGTATGTATCTAGGTGCTCCCAGAAGTCCTTACGGTCTTATCATAGAGCACCACGGGTGAGCAATTAACAGGAAGTTCACGCCTCCTTCCGTACCAATGTCGCTTGTTGGGCTAGAGCTGGCATCGAACCTCGGACCTCTGGGTTCTGAGCCAGAACTCTAACCACTGCGCCACGACTGCTCAATGTTTCATTGTTTTTCATTTTCATTCAAACTTTCATTGTTTAAAAATTTTTCCATTAGTTTATGATAAAATATTCGAGGTAAATTAAAACCACAAAAAAAAAAAATAAATAAAAAAAAAAATAAAAAAAAATAAAAGAAAAAAAAAAAAAAACGAAATTTTAATGTTAGTTTTATTTACTTAAAAAATAACTTTTAAAAGTAAAAGCTATTTTAGTGGTTTTTAGTATAAATTGATTTTTTTTTTACGACCTATTATATAAAGGCTACTTTAGCTGTGGTTACAATCCTCTCTCAACTCTATAACTTTTTTTTTTCAACAAGGCTGCAAGCAACCACTTTTAGAGTTGGAAGTCACTGGAAGAGAAATGATGAGGTTTATATAGCAAGATAACAATTAACAGATGACTTAAAAGATTGCAAATTATATGAATTCGGAAAAAAATATGAAGGAAGCGAATTCAAAAGAACTGATGTTCAAGGAAAAAAACTAGATGAATAAGAATTTTTGGAGCACTTAGGAACAGTCACAGTAAAAGGATGAGACTTAATTGAGTAACACGAGAGTGAATTTAAGTAGATGGCACTTTATAGTATTTGAAACGAAGAGACCATAAAAAGAATAAATATAGAAATTGTCGGTGTGGAACAGACTTAATCTGTTCCATTCCTTTTTTTTTAAATCTGGGACAGCAGTGGACGCCCAAACTAATCCGCCTAAACTAAAAATTCCATAAATCATAAAATAAAACATTTATAAAGTCCAATATAGTTAAATAAATTAAATAAAAGCAAATAGAAGGAAAGAAAACTTGTCCCTATTGTATGTATGTTGCGTTTTATAACTATCAAAATAATGGCAGACTTTATTAATGTTGCATACTTACTCGGTGTAGTTAAGGCAATTTTAAAATATTATAGCGTCTGTATGATATTTTGTTGACTACTACATATTTCCGTTAAATGATCTGGTCTGTGAATTATGAAAAGACGAAAAAAATTAAAATGATAAATTTTGCGGTATCATAAAATCAAAATGTTTCTAGCGAAAAAACCTAAACCGAAGATTCTATTTTATTTTTTTTTAAATCCTAAAATCACAATAGCTTGTCCAAATTTGAATAAGATTTTAAATAAATACGTTGTTTAGGTAAAATGAACATCATAGTTTGATATAATGATCTGTTCTGATCGTTTATTGGCAATTTTTCTTAATTATAAGCTCTTTCTTGGTCGGAATTCTAGTATTTTTTGAAGAAATCGATAGAAATATTAAGTTTTGACAACTATATATAATTAATATACGTCAGAACCGATTAAAACTAGGATCAAACTAGGAGTAAATTAAGGCAGTTTTCAAAAGGTTTTATCCAAATGTTAACGCCGATAAGCGGAATTAATCTAAAGACTCCAAAATGGTGTTCTTTAAATTCACTATTATAAGTAGTAAAAAGGTTTTAAAAAGTATATGTAAAAAAAAAAACTTTCTTTAAATATTAAAAAACCAAAAAGCAAAAAAAATTATAACATCTAAAGCTCTTGTTTGGACATAATACACTGGTAAAATCATGATAATTTCAAATAAAAGAATTCGAATAATTTGTAAATCGCCTTAACTACACCGAGTATGTATTTAGTTAGTTTAACGAAGGAGTGTTACACATCGTAGATGAAGAAGTGAAATAAAGAACTTTCATTTTTTTTTTTTACATCAGATCAGTAAACGAGGTCTATGAATGCCCTAAAATTATAAGTTTTTGTCTATCAAAAAAATTTAATAGGCTCTATTTAATAATAATTTATTAGGATAATATTATCTTTATAATAAAATTAAATTTTATAATAATGTAATTTAGAATATTTTAACTAACCCTTTTTTTTTTCTTCTTTTTCAAGTACATATGTAATTGGGAAAATTGTCATAAGCGGTAGCACCCAAATTATGGCTAGATACGGCCCTGATATATATATATATATATATATATATATATATATAATATATATATATATATATATATATATATATATATATATATATATATATTAATAATGACTTTTTAGTGACCCTATGTTCCTGGGTCATATATCGATAAATACTTGTACAAAGGTAAAAAAAAAAAAAAAAAAAACTTAATTTTCTTGCTAAAAAAGGTCACCCACTTTTGTGGGGACCTTTTTTTGAATTTGAAAAATTTGAATTTATCATCTATGCGTATGGATAAAACTTTAAAGAATTTTATAATTGTCATTTTTATAATTCTAATTTTTTTCTTAATGGAGAGTTATTATGTAGTTTTTAAGCATTTAACATTATAACATTCTAAATTACAAATATATGTAAAATTACTAATTTAAATAATGATAATTCTACAAGTACGAAAAGCTACTTTATTTACCGAAAAAATGTTGTGTAGTATTTAGCTTAATTAAAGCGTAATGTAAAATTCTTATGTTTTGATAGACAAAATAAATCTAAGATGGAGGTTTTCTTTCTTTTTACAGAAGTCAAAAGATCTTGAAAACACATGATTGCTCGTTCTGCACACTAATTTGTTTTGAAAATTTCCAGTTTTACTAGTTCCTGATTCCAAAACTTTTTCACTAATTTTAACGCTTTTTCGTGACCAAATTATTGCAAGCTACTTTATAGCTTCCGATAATCATCTGCATTGTGCATTTGGTCAGTAAACCAATGGTCCGTCCATCTGTAAGAGACGAATCTACAAATGACGAGTAGTGAGTCTTTTCTGGGTAAAAGAATAAAAGTTATTTTCAAAAACTTCACTTTAGGAAATAATTCAGATTCCTTAAAAAAGCGGAATATCCGAGTTAAATGAAATATAAAATTCTAGGGTTCGGAACTTATGCGCATATCGGCAAATATAAGCGCATACCATTCAAAAGTAATGCGCATAATTATGCGCATAATACGCAAATGATGCGCATACATGTGAAGTTAATTAAATATCGTCAAATATAGAAAATATTTTTAAAATCAAACGCAAGGGAATTCAATATAAAAGAAGTAACTTTTCATTTGATTTTCTGTTTGGTATTGTACTTTTGTCGTTTGAATCCAACAAAACACTATTGGTATATATGAAAACTAATTTTTTATGCGTTTGTTTACTAAGCGATTTTTTAACCGTGAATGAATAAATCGAAAAATTGACCAAGATTTTTCTGCTGTTGCTGACGAACAAATTATTTCAACAATAGATTTTGCAACTTCAAAGACTTCTGACAGCCAACAATGTTCCAATTATTATAAGTGTTATCAATTCTCCAACAAATTCAATCATTTTACTTTTAACTGTCTAAACAATTGTTGATTTGTTTTGGAGGCTAATTTTGAAATTGAACTGATTGTATCAGTCTTATCCTCACCAAAATCGTTCTGCAGCATAATTCGGTGTCGGATAAAGGCAATACCCATATTTGAGGTAATAATAAATTTAAAGTGCTTCATAATCATTTCCTGAATAACTTCCTCATTTGCGAATTTTTTGAACATTTCACCAAAATAATAGTACTCCAAAGATAATGGAGCATAGTTTTTAAGTCTTCTAATGATGATAGAAGCATATTCGATATCTTTCACGAGTTTCGCTAAACTATCCCAGAAAGCATTTGATTTAATTAGCGTCATTACAGCGGCCAAATTTGCTTTTAGAGCAATTTTTTTCAAAGATGCATTTTCTTCATCCGCAAAAAGAATCAAAACATACTTTGCTATATAAAGGTCGTTTATTGAATTAAATTGAAAGATTCATCGAGTCGAAACAGGCATTGCGAGTGAGCAAGGAATATTAGCTACGATTCCCTTTTCGTCAAACTTTGCTTTAACAATGTAATGATTTTTCACAAACTTGATGATTTTTTCAGCTTCTTTGATGGTCTTTGAACTTTCAGCAGTACTTAAAATGTCCTTAACGAGAAGATTCATACCGTGTGCTGTACAGCCAAATGTCGAGATGTATAGAAATTTTTTTTCAATTAATTTCCAAGCAGCTTTCATTACTGAAACGTTGTCAGTGATTATGCTTTTTAACTTTTGTGGGTCGAGAGTCTCGATTACTTCAATGATGGCACCAGCAACAGCTACAGCATTTTGAACTATGCTCGATGTGTTGATTGAAATATAGAAATACGGTTTTGTATTCAGTGCCTTGACACAAAAGTTTACTATATGATCGCCACCAATATTTGTCCAACCATCATTGACTA